AAAATTTAAAAATCTGGTAATACCAACTATGCTGGCAAAGGAGGTGGAGCAACCGGAATTCTCATAAGTTGCTGGTAGGAGTACAAAATGGTACAGCCATTATGGAAAACATTTTGGCAGTATCTTACAAAGCTAAATAAACAATTGATGACTCAGTTAAACATATATTTGATGATCCAGCAACACCACTTCTAGGTATTTATTCTAGAGCTGGATTTCTCAGCTGTGGCAACTAATGACATTTGGGGCTGGATAGTCCTTTGTTGAGAGGGCTGTCCTGTGCATTGTAGGATGTATAGCAGTCCCCCTGATTTTTTTCCATTAGATGTCATTAGCACTACCTCCTCCACTCCAAGTTATAGCAATCAAAAATGTCTCAAGACATTGCCAAATATGCCTTGAGGGTCAAAATCAACACTGGCTGAGAACCACTGCTCTAGAGAAATGAAGACGTCTATCCATGCAGAAACCTGTCAAATACCACTAAGATCAGAAACAAGGCAAGCATGCCCACTTTTGCTACTTCTATTCAACAAAGCATTGGGAGTTCTAGCCAAAGCGATCAGGTGAGAAAAAGAAAGAAAAGACACCCAAACTGGAAAGGGAGATGTAAAGTAATCTCCATTTGCTGATAATATAACCTTATGTATAGATAACCCTAAAAATTCCACACAAAAACTAATAATAAATTAAAAATAAACAAATTCAGCAAAGTTGCAGGATATAATATCAATACTCAAAAACCAGTTGCATTTCTATATACTAATAGTGAACAATCATAAAAAGAAATTTTAAAAAAATTTCATTTACAATATCATCAAAAAGAACAAAATACTTAGGAATAAATTTAACCAAGGAGGCAAAGACTTATACACTGAAAACTATAAGAAGAAAGTAAAGGAGACATAAGTAAATGAAAAGATATCTATGTTCATGAATTGGAAGACTTAATATTGTTAATATGATAATATTATGCAAAAGAGTTTGCAGATTCAAAGCATTCCCCATCAGAATTCCAATGGCATTTTTTTGCAGAAATAAAAAACCCTGTCCTTAAAGTTCACATGTAATATTAAGGGACCCTTAAATGACAAATCAATCATAAAAAAGAAGAACAAAGTTGGAAGACTCATACTTTCTGATTTCAAAACTTACTACAAAGCTACACTAATCAAAACAGTATGGTACTGGCATAAGGACAGACATATAGACCAAGAAATAAATCCTTGCATATGTCGATTTTCAATGAGATTTTCAATGAGAGCGCCAGGACCATTCGACATGGAAAGGATAGTCCAGTCTTTCCAACAAATGGTGCTGGGAAAACTGAATGTCCACAAGCAAAAGAATGATGTTGGACTCTAACCTTATACCATATATAAAAACTAACTCAAAAAAGATCAAAGATCTAAACATAAGAGCTAAAACTATAAAACCTTTAGAAGAAAACATAGGAGACAATCTTCATGACATTGGATTTGGCATCCCATTTCATGGATATGGCACCAAAAGCAAGGCAATAAAAGGAAAGAAAATTTTGAAATCAAAAACTTCTGTGCATCAAAGGACACTATCAAGAGAGTGAAAAGAGAACCCACAGAATGAGAGAAAATATTTGGAAATCATGTATCTGATAAGGGGTTAACATCCGGAATACATTAAAAAAATTCCTATAACTAAACAACAACAAAAAAAGAAACAATCTAACTTAAAAATATGCAAAGGACTTGAATAGACAATTCTCCAAAGAAGATATATAAATGGCCAATAAGTAGATAAAAAGATGTTCATTAATCATTAGGGAAATGCATATGAAAACCACAATGAGATACCAATTCACACCCATTAGGATATCTATTATAAAAAATGATAAATAGGTCAGGCGTGATGGCTCACGCCTATAATCCCAGCACTTTGGGAGTCCAAGGCATGCAGATCACATGAGGTCTGGAGTTTGAGATCAGCTTTGCCAACATGGTGAAAACCCATCTCTACTAAAAATACAAAAATTAGCCAGGCATGGTGGTACACGCCTGTAATTCCAGCTACTTGGGAGACTGAGTTAGGAGGATCGCTTGAACCTGGGAGGTGGAGGTTGCAGTGAACCGAGACTGTGCCACTGCACTCCAGCCTGGGCAATAGAGAGAGACTCTGTCTCCAAAAAAAAAAAAAAAAAAAAGATAAATAAAAAGTGTTAGTGAGGATGTGGAGAAATTGGAACCCTTGTGCATTACTGGCAGTAATGTAAAATGGTGCAGTCACTGTGGAAAACAAGTTTGGTAGCTCCTTAAAAAGTTAAGTATAGAATTACCATATGATCCAGAAATTCTACTTCTACATATATATACAAACAAATTGAAAGCAGGAAGTCAAACATACACTTGTATGCCAATGTTTATAGCAGCACTATTCATAATAGACAATGGTAGGAACAACCCTAAATGCCCATTAGCAGATGAATGGATGAACAAAATGTGGTCTATACAGTTAAATATTACTCAGCCTTAAAAAGAAATGAAATTCTGATATATCCTACAATATGGATGAATCTTGAAAACACTAGACGAAATGAAAGAAGACAAACACAAAAGGACAAATATTGTATGACTCCACTTATATGAGGTACCTAGAATTAGGTAAGTTCATAGAGACAGAAAGTAGAACTTTACTACAAGAAAAGTATTTTTTGAAAACTGCAAAAGAAAGCTTCTAACAGTTCTAATTGCCTAAAAACTTGAAAAAAAATCCAAATGTCATTCCATGGGTGAGGGGACAAACAAGATGTGACACATCCATATGCTTGAACACTGCTCAGCAATAAAATGGAAGGAGCTATTAATACATGTAACAATGGATGAATTTAAAAAAAACATTCTGAGTGAAAGAAGCCAGTTTTAAAAGGTACTGTATGATTCTATTTTTGTGGCATTCTTGAAAGGACAATACTACAATCATGAAGAACAGATCAGTGGTTGCTAGGGGTTACAGGTGAAGGGAGGATGTGGCTGTAAAGAGGTAGCATGAGGGATTTTGGAACTGTTGTGTATTCTGATCATGGTGGTGGTTACACAAATCTCTATATATGTTCAAACTCGTAGAACTGCACACCGAGAGAAAGTCAATTTCACTGTATGATGTAAAAATGATCTAAAAACTTAAAAGTAATGTAATACCATAATATAAAATTAATGTGAGATTTAAGAGTCTAGAACTCTACTATAAAAGCCTTACAAAACTATTGAAACTAAAGGGCTTGAAAAAGTGATAGAGAAGAAATCCCATATATTAAAATTATGTTTATTCTTCTAAATTTTCTATAATTTCACAAACATTTAAAGAAGAATATATGGCAAAACTTGTATTTCAGTAAAGCAAAACCGTGTTTCAGCCCCTGGCCTTAATTACTACATTCAGATCAGAACTTGCCCTTAAAGAGAAAAAAAAAAAAAACAACTTAACATATACACTTATGCGCAAAATCAAAGCCAAATCATACTAGGTTTGACTACCATATTGGACTGTTATGTGGCACAAGTGAAATAATGTAAATCAAAGTCATATGAAACTGTCTTATTACTAAAGTTAAAAAAACACAATTGAACAAGAGGGATAGCCTTTAAACATTTTTATATGACAGTTCCCAAGATCATAGCTACTATCAGCCAGTGTTCTGGGTTCTTAATCTGCTGTGTCATGTTGCCTACTAATACACAGAGACAGTCATTGATCAGTGATCATAAACCTAGGCAAACCAACGATTCTTAACTTTGTTGTTAATGAAACACTGATCTTTCTCACAACATGAAAGATCAGAAATGAACTGTTGGTGTCTGGAATGACTCTGCACTTGCTTCCATTGGGTTTTAGATTCACTTCCTTTTTCTGTTCTCTGGAGAGAGAGCACAGCTGTTAAGCATCACTTTATAAGAGTGTTTTCTTCTAGAAATTTCCCAAGGGCCATTACTAAGTGTGAGAAATATTGGGAAGACCGTAACAGATTTGTGTATGAGTCACTTTGCATCTGCATATGGTTAAGTGTACTTACAGCACAATTTGAATAAAATAAGAAGGCAAAATGAAGCACTTAGTTATAGCTTAACTGGAGATTACTATTTTTAGATTTTCAGTTGCTGATTATCCTTGCATATAGGAAGGCAGAAATGTCTTCTCAAGAGTATGTTGTCACAGTGCCTTGAACACTGTCCTTCTAAGATCTCTTCAAAATTTCACAGTTCGAACAGAAGCTCTCTTGAGTTCCCTACATGTCTAAATTGCAGAACAGGCACTGTCATGGCTAAAGTATCTTCTAATTGCCAGAGGTTCTAAAAGTCCCTCTCCACCTTCAAAAGCCCATGTTCTCAATAGCATCCAAGATGAAGAGAATAGAAGGAACAACAGGCTAGAAGGGAAACATCAGGACTCTTTAACTGCGAATGGTTAATCAAGTCTGCATCCACTCAGGTCTATAGAAAGATCCCATAATAGGAGTCTTCCAGAGGCTAATACACACTCACAGTCCAGGGCACTGTACCTTTCCCAATGGGACTCTAAGTGATTCATCCTCCAGGAAGGTTCAGAAACAGTCAGGACAGGGCCACCAGGTGTTCTGGTGGAAGGGAACATGCAATATGTTGAGTTTTTACAATTTAAACTCTGGACATCCAGAGAACTACAAACCTATTGAGGTCAAACAGGACATCACAGCCTCGGTGAAAAGAATTGCGGGCATTTCCATTTTCAAATTAAGCAAGCCTCAGCCCTGGGCTATCTTGAAATACTGCAATCTCAAAATGGTATGAGGAGTCGAATGTTGCAAGAAAAAAAGCTAACTCCAAATTGATTTGTTCCAAGTCTAGAAAAGCTTATGGCCTGGTTTTACGGTCAAGTGGTTGTTTTAAAATTGCACAGGGCTTACTGAAGGCTGTGTTTCCTTTTTAATGAGCTCATAAGAATATAGGTTGGGGTGAAGGATAAGAAGAGTGTGAAAAATATAAGATTACCATTTCGATGTAGCTTTCTTCCTCTTCTCTGGAAACAGGATTAGCAAAAAATCTTGCAGAATTAATACCATTTCTTTCTGGAGAGAGAAAGCTGGTTCGACTGCTAAGAATAAAAATATAGATGAGGTCAAAGCAATGTCTTACAGCTGCTCTGAAAGCCAGCCAGGAACTAACATGGCCCTCATGGGGTTTCAGTCCTCCTCTTCCAGACACAACTTCCTTCCGGCCAAAGCAATTCCTGAAGACGCAGAAAATGCCCAACAGTTTCTGCTCCACTTTGGGGCAAATGGCTCCCAATTCACAAAGGCTGCTTTTTCTCAGGCCCTCTATGTGACACAGTTCATGAGCTTTCTAAATGGACGAGGGCATCATACCATTTAGAAAAAAATAAACTCCTTTGGGGCCTTCTTGTTTCTATTCAATGTAAGGAAAAGTGAGGATGTATGGCCATTCCTCTGATAGGACACAACACCGCTAATCAACTTCCATCCTTTTTCTGAGTCAGAAGCATGAGCTGAGTCACAGTCTTGACTGGAAATACAGCTCATTGCAGAATTCTGCTTTACAATGCAATTGTGTTTTGTGGCATTTAGAGTGAACCAAGAAACTCCTGAGCCACGCTCAGGACTAAATAGGCAACTTCTAAAAGGTGAGATGAAAGGGTGCAACTACATTTTGAAGTTTGTCTACCCAGCCCATGAACCTGGGAACTCCCTTGTCCTACCCCATTCACAAAGTTGGGCTTGGGCCATAGCCAGTTCCACTGAGACTGGGGAACACAATTCTCTCTCCCCAGGAAATCTGAATTCAGAGCCCATCTATTGGTACTGCAGTTGTAGCATGTAAACAAGTTCAGGGGGTATGGTACAGCTATCTTTGACCATGGGGTTTGTGCAACAGAGAAAAGAATACTGCAAAGACAAAGAAATGCACAGATGTGAAGAGTGAAGCAGAAGTGAGCAGATTCCTTGGGTTCCCGACAGCACACTAGTTCCTGATTCCAGGGTCCTGGGAGACCCAGTCATATTCCTTCCTTTGTGATCTATAAAACAGCTCTTGCTCTCGATAATAAACCTCACCCCTCCTTTGGCTTAAACTAGATCAAATGGGCTTCAACTACATTTAATCAGAGGCCTAACACACACCAGGCATGTTTGTGCTGGATGAGGCTCTTTTGAGCAATGGGTCTTACCAAGGCACAGTGCGGGTCCTGGTAAGAGATGCATGTTCCCGGATAGTGGAGAGGTTTCTCAGGTCCAGAGGAGGTGGCCGTGCTACAAGACAGTGTGCAACATCCAGGAGGTCAAGGCCAGAATCTAAAGGTTATAAAACTATGACATTTCACTTTCCCAGCACACCAAATTCACATTTACTAATAGGCAGCACCGATGATGAGTGTGAATTTCACTGTCCTCCTCTTCCCTGCCTCACTGAGAGTAAAGACAAATACTGAGCAAATGGTCACATTACCTGCTGGAGGTTAACAACGTGGCAAGGCATTATTAAGAAGTCTCCGTATATCATGCGTGCTTCTAGGTGTCAAAGGCACAGGATGAACAAAGCAGATGAAAGTCTCTGACCTTGTGGAATTGCAACACCTATTACCTCACACCCAATGTGTCTGAAGTGGAAATGTTACCTTTCTTATCACAGGCAGAGATGATCACCCAGGTCCTAGTCTTCCCCACCTACAATCCATTGTCCACCTGATGATCCTTCTGCCTAGAACATTCTTCCCCATCTCTTTGCCTCCAGACAAGATCAGGCCCCACAGCCTGGGCTCTCAAGTTCTTGTACTTACCCTTCACAGTACAGCCCCAGTTTGTGATAATATACTCATCTATGATTTACCTGGGCCTAAACTGTGCTCCAGGAGAACAGGGGTGTATCTGGTCTGTTCACTGCAGTAGCCTCGGCACCTAGAAAAGCACTTGGTACCTGCCCCAAACCTTATTCCACCTCAGTGGCCCATCTTCCTGAGTTAGTCCTGGCCCAGGTATCCACCTTTGCATCCACTCACTAAATCTCCAACCCTGAGTCTATCAGACATCTTCTGTTGCCTATGACAAGGTCCTGCAGAGCTGCGCTGTCCATTGTCATGACAACTAGCCACACGTGCCTATTTACACATATATGTAAATTTATTAAAATTAAATACAATTTAAAATGTAGTTCCTCAGTCACATTAGCCAAATTTCAAGGGTTCAATAGTCATTATTTCCAACATCACAGAAAATTCTGTTGTTGTTTCTGACCAGAATTAATGGCTATTTCCTCTGAACCTCATAAGATAGGCTCTGTTCTCCTACTTAGCACCGATTTTATAATCCTATTTTGTGGTCCAGGTGGATTTTACATATCTTCCTCCCCCTCAGACTGAAAAAGCCTCCTTGCTTCCTCATCTTTGTATCCCACTCAGTGCCTACCACAGCACTACATATGCAGCACATGCACTGGAAATGTATAAATGTAGTTTGACTGAAATGTAAGGGAATACGCCTGGAGTAGACCAGGCATGAGTAGTGGTCTTAGTTGGCACTAAGTAGTGGTCTTTGGGCACAGCCACCTGAAGTGACTTTTTTTGCTTTCTAAAGAGCAAAGAGAAGTCGGAATGGACAAGAGATCAGTCATTCTACCAATGCTCCCTTGTAATCACACAGCCAACTGGGAAGAGCAAGATGAGTAAGAATGAAGTTAATAAGTCACTCTGACCTGCTCTTCCTCTTTCCCTCTTTTCCTATCTATCTCCCTATCTGTCCATGCTGCTCAACAGACCAGAGAAGCTGCCTGGGAGTAAGACAGAAGCTGCAAGGCACCCTCTGCACAGAGGAGTCAGCCTAATTATTGCCAAAATCCTCTTCTACCCCTGAATACCTCTGCTGATGGGCATGCACAGAACGATGAGTGATAAACTGCATGTGACTGGGTCTGACCTTCAGGAATCAGTGTCAAAGGCTTTACAGAGGCTGCCACTATGATTACATTCAAGTGCTGTCTAATGGGGAGATGCCAGGTGGGATTCCATTCTAATCCACCATCACTTATTCCTGGGCTTGTTAGGGAAACAGCCAAAGATGAGCCCTCTGGAATGAACTTGACTTTGTCAGCTGTATTTGCAAGGCCACAGTGCCTGTAAGTCCCCCAACTCCTATTATCATGACAATCTGAGGCAGCAAGGTGCCCCAGCCCTTCCTATTCCATCCCAGCCACTTCTTTCCTGACCTTATACTTTCCAGCCCTCTGAGATGGTTTCTCTAGGTCTTCCTTTACAGAAACCTTTTCTATGCAACCACTGGAACCTTGCTCCCCTCCCCCTATACAGCAGGTCTGGTCAAGTGCTTACGTTTCCTCTGAGGCTTGAGATCTCTATTCACTGGGGGAGGTTCCAGGTCTGCAGGTAGCTCAGGCAACTGGCTTGAGATGCTTCCTGAGTTCATTGGAATGTAGTCATCAGGGCTGCAGTGGGGTCCAAGACCAGAGGCACCAGCCTGGGGGCTCATGGGCACATAGCTGTCTTCGATACTGGCTGAAGCTGTGGGGTACATTGGGGAGAACCTGCATGGCTGCAAAAGAATAGATGCAGATTGGGAACCACAGACCAGTCATGGAAACGGCTATCAGAGGGCAGCCAAAGCTGCACATATGGTTTCAGTTCCAAACTAGCCAAGTATAACTCTGAACTACCTCAGCAAAGTCAGACAAGCCTCTAGCTCAAGTTCTGCCTCTGGACTTATCGTTTTAGTACAGGTGATAACTCTCCAAGATCTGACACTAGAAGACAGAGGGTTATGAATTTATGCAAATACTTTAAGTATAAAGTGATGCCTTAAGTAGCTATACCAAGTTGAGCAAGTCCTGTAGTTCCCAAGCAAGTTCAAGTCTTCAGGGGGAGACTGGAAGAGTCCTCAGACACTCAGAGTGTTGAATCTTAAAGATTTCAAGGGAATATATATAGATCAGGCTAATTTTGGTAAAATTGATGCATAAAGGAACCTGAGTGTTGAACTTACCAAATTTAAACTAAGTCGCTTGTCTCGGTGTCTTAAGGATTGGCCTTCTACATCAGCTGCAAGAAATAAGCCAAGGTGGTGAGAAATGCAGAACAATATCAACTGAAACTAGAGTCCAGAGAGGAAGAGAAGCATAACACAACAGTTGCTATTAGAGTCTAGCTGGGCAGTCAGAACACATTTCCCCAACAGATGAAAAATCAGACCAGATTTTGAAGAAGTTTCTAGTCGATGGCTTGAGTTCTCTGTGAATTAGGAGGAGATATAGCAAGGAATTAACAAATGCTTGTTGCATTTATTACATAAATCTTCTGAGCTGGAGGTTTGAGGAGAGGAGAGAGGTTTGAAATATTCCTTGTAATGAGCAGGAGAACAGGGTGAACAGAGAAACAATTGCCTTGTGGAGCAGCATTAAGGGCTCAATTGAGGTCTGTGACCAGAAAAGCTACTCAGATAGAGGCATGCATAGAAAGGACATTTGGATTTATCCAGGATTAGAAACTCATCAGATGGATGCAATAAACAATGTGATATTAAAATTTAGAATACTTGTTGAATTTAAAGAGAAGATGTTCAGAAGGCAACAAGATATCTGGGCCTGAACTCAAATGAGATATAATTTGGGGGAATTTAGCAGCTTAGAGATGGCAGTCAAAACCGTAAGAGTAGATGAAACTATCTAGGTTGCAAGTGTTGAGAAAAGTATAAAACTCTAGAGAATCCTAAGATTCAAAGAACTAAGAGATAAATCAGTGAAGTATCTTGAGAAAGAGCAACTACAGATTAATGAGGAAACTTCGGGGGTATGGTGCCATGAAAGCCTCAGGAAGGAAAGAACGGCCAACGGTGTTGAGTGGTGCAGAGGAGTCCAGCAAGTGCTCCCAGCATGTGGAGGCCAGAGCAAAGCAGCCCTCAGCTCTCAAGAGCTTGGAGGTGTGAAAAGTCAGGAGGCCTCTAAGAAATAAACTTAAAATTCGACAACATCTTAAAATGCAAGGACAACTCCCAGCTCAGAATAAATGTGACAGAGACTGATGGAATTAAGCATACATATTATATATACATATATGTGTATGTATATATGTATATATCCACGTTTACATATGTTTAAAGATGTACAAGTACTGGTTAAAAACCACTCTGACGTCAGACTGTCTAGTTGTAAATCCCTACACCACCATGTATTAGCTGTGTGGCACTAGACAAGTTACTTACCCTCTCTATGTCTCAGTTTCCTAATTTGTAAAGTGAAGCCAATAATGGAACCTGTTTCACAGGACTTCCGGAAAGGACTTAGAATACTGCCTAGAACACACAAAGTACTTAATAATTCTTAGAAACTATTATGGAATAACGTCTTATTGTGGGACTTGCATGTGTGAGCACAAGCCCTTAACTCCCTTTCCACTACCAGACCCTTTTGAAGTCATCAAAGAACATAAATATAGGGAAAAATCTGAATCAAAGGCATAGGTATAATCCACGTGCCAGATACTTTAAGAGATTTATGACAGATAGAATGCAGATGGGATCAGAGTAAAGGAAGGCACTTTTTCTCTTATATGACAGCATTCATTGCAAGCTTCCCAAAGTGCCCTTGGGCCTTAAGGGAACATGCGCAGACAGTACTCCCCATGGCCTGGGGTGGTGGTAGCTATGGAGTGAGGCTCCTCTGCCTTATATTAGGAAAAATCTAAAGACTACACAAGAAAACTATTAGAATTAATACACGAATTCAGTAAAGTTGCAGGCCACAAAATCAACATAGAAAAATCAGTAGCATTTCTATATGCCAACAGTGAACAATCTGCAAAAGAAATTTAAAAGTAATCCCATTTACAGTAGCCACACATAAACTTAAATACCTAGGAATTAACTTAACCAAAGAAGTGAAAGACCTCTATAATGAAAACTATGAGACACTATTGAAAGAAATTGAAGAGTACACCAAAAAATAGAAAAATATTCCATGTTCATGTATTGGAAGAATCAACATTATTAAAGTGTCCATACTACCCAAAGCAATCTACAGATTCAATGCAATCCCTACCAAAATACCTATTATAGTCTTCGCAGAAATAGAAAAAAATCCTAAAATTTGTATGGAACCATAAAAGACCCAGAATAGCCAAAACTATCCTAAGCAAAAAGAACAAAACTGGAAGAATCACATCACCTGACTTCAAATTATACTACAGAGCTACAGTAACCAAACAGCATGGTACTGGCATAAAAACAGACACATAGACCAAAGGAACAGAATAGGGAACTCAGAAACAAATCCACACACCTACAGTGAACTCATTTTTGACAAAGGTGCCAAGAACATACACTGGGAAAAAGACAGGCACATAAATAAATGGCGCCGGGAAAACTAGATATCCATACCCAGAAGAATGAAACGAAGACCCCTATCTCTCACCATGTACAAAAGTCAAATTAAAATGGATTAAACACTTAAATATAAGACATCAAACTATAAAACTACTACCAGAAAACATTAGGGAAAAAAGGCTAAGACATCAAACTATGAAACTACTACAAGAAAACATCAGGGAAAATCTCTAAGACATTTGCCTGGGCAAAAACTTCTTCAGCAATACACCAAAAGTACAGACAACCAAAGCAAAAATGGACAAATGGGATTACATGAACTTGAAAAACTTCTGCACAACAAAGAATACAATCAACAAAGTGAAGAGACAACCCACAGAATGGGAGAAAATACTTGCAAACTACCCATCTGACAAGGGATTAATAAACAAAATATTTAAGAAGCTCAAACAACTCTCTAGGAAAAAAAAAAAATCTAATAATCTGATTAAAAGATGGAACAAAGATTTGAATACACATTTCTCAAAAGAAGACAAACATGTGACAAATAGGCATATGAAAAGGTGCTGAATGTTATTGATCATCTGAGAAATGCAAATCAAAACTGTCTCAAAAGAGACATACATGCAGCCAACAAGCATACCAAAAAGCTCAACATCACTGATCACTAAAGAAATGTAAATCAAAACCACAATAATATGTCATCCCACACCAGTCAGAATGGTTATTATTAAAAAGTCAAAAAATAACAGATGCTGGTGAGGTTGCAGAGAAAAGGGAATGCTTACAAACTGTTTTTGGGAATGTAAATTAGTTCAACCATTGTGGAAAACAGTGTGGTGATTTCTCAAAGACTGAAAAACAGAAATACCACTCAACCCAGCAGTCCCATCACTGGATATATACTCAAAGGAATATAAATCATTCTAACATAAAGACACATGTACACATATGTTCATTTCAGCACTACTCACAATAGCAAAGACATGGAATCAACCTAAATGTCCATCAATGACAGATTGGATAAAGAAAATGTGGTCCATATACACCATGGAATACTATGCAGCCATAAAAATTAATGAGATCATGTCCTTTGCAGGAACATATACAGAGCTGGAGGCCATTGCCCTTAGCAAACTAACACAATAACAGAAAACCCAATGCCACGTGTTCTCACTTATAAGTCAGAGATAAACGATGAGAACACATGGACACATAGAGGGGAGCAATAGACACTGGGGCCTATTGGCGGGCAGAGGATGGTAGCAGGGAAAGGATCAGAAAAATAACTAATGGATAAGAGGCTTAATACCTGGGTGATGAAATAGTCAACAAACCCCTATGACACAAGTTTACCTATTTAATAAACCTACACATGTACCCCTGAACTTAAAACAAAAGTTAAAATAAAAAATATATTTAAAAACTACAATGAGATTATCTTCTCACCCCAGTTAATATGGTTTGTATCCAAAAGGCAAGCAATAACAAATGCTTGTGAGGATGTGGAGAAAAGGGAACCTTTGTACACTGTTGGTAGGAATGTAAATTAGTACAACCACTATGGAGAAGTTTGGAGGTTCCTTAGAAAACTAAAAATCGAGCTACCATATGATCCAGCAATCCAATTGCTGGGTATATACCCCAAAGGAAGGAAATCAGTGTATCAAAGAGATACCTGCACTCCTATGTTTGCTGCAGCACTGTTCACAATAGCCAAGATTTGGAAGCAACCAAAGTGCCCATCGACAGATAAATAGATACAGAAAATGTGGTACATATATACGATGGAGTATTCTTTAGCCATAAAAAAGAATGAGATCCCATCATGCAACAACATGCATTGAACTGAAGGTCATTAAGGAGGTTAAGTGAAAGAAGCCAGGTACAGAAAGACAAACATCACATGTCCTCACTTATTTGTGGAATCTAAAAATCAAAATGATTGAACTTACAGGCATAAAGAGTGGAAGAATAGTTGTCAGAGGCTGGGAAAGGTAGTCAGGGTGGGGGGCTGTGGGGGAGGTGGGGATGGTTAATAGATACACAAATTCATTAGAAAGAATAAGACCTAATATTTGATCACACAACAGGGTGACTATAGTCAATAATAACTTAATTGTACATTTTTTAATAATGAAAAGAGTGTAATTGGATTGTTTGTAACATGAAGAATAAATGCTTGAGGGGATGGATACCCCATTCTCCATGGTGTGCTTATTTCACATTGTATGCCTGTATCAAAACATCTCATGTACCCATATATACACACCTACCATGTACCCACAAAAATTAAAAAGAAAAAAGAAACTATAAAAGCAAGAGCAAAAGAAACTGAAAAATAGTATAAGGAAATAAATAATAAAGATCACATCAGAACTACAGAAAAAGTTGGTTCTTCAAAAAGATAAACAAAATCAATAAACCAATAGACTAAGTGGTTTAGTCACTTAGTAACTAGAGTAAGAAAAAGCAAAGAATGCTCAGATAAATAAAATTAGAACTGAAAAAGGAGACATTACAATAGATACCAAAGAAATACAAAGGGTTGTTAGAGATTGTTTTGAACAATTATACATTAACAAATTTGAAAACCTAGAGGAAAAGGATAAATTCCTGGACATGTAAAACCTACCAAGATTGAATCAGAAAGAACTAGAAAACCTGAACAAACCAATAATGAGTAATGAGATTGAATCAATAATAACTTGATGGCTTTACT